TAAAATATAGGAGGAAAATATGCTTTCTGATCAGGAAGTTTCTTTGGAGGATGTCTATGAAGTAGATGTCTAGCCCTATGGAATTGATGGCTGTAAAACAGGACACTAGGGGTAATAGTGATTGAAGATTTGAGCAGGTGACAAAAAAACCCCAAGCTTGTCCTATTACTACCCCGATGCTATTTCCCTGATGGTGTCTTCTAGTATGCGGGAATCTGGGAGAAGGTGGGCTTTTAAAAGTAACAAATTGGATGGTTAGCAAGAGAAATATAAACAAGTTAATGAAACTATAGGAATAATGACTAATGAGGGTGTGATCTAATGAGAGTGATTCAGAGTATTTGACAGTTGTAGAATTCCATCTACTGGTGGAGTTTAGAGATGACTTAAAAAAGCAGCTGAATCAAGTATCCCTCTACAGGCAGACAAAATGAGAAATCTTGCACCCTTAGTGCCATAAAGATAAATTCTCTCAGGCTGTATACCCAGTTCCATGATGGAATAGCAAGGTAGGGGATGAAATTTCTAAAAGTGATGGATTTGGTGGATTGAACTTATTTCTCCTCCCCGTGACCTCTACTCCTTAATGACTGACCTGTTTCAGGTATAATGAGATCATACCTTTTCGATGAATCTTTGTCTCCTACCCCCCAAAAGCTTTCACGGCCTAGGTCGTACAAGCCTGTGCAGATCAATAGGTGAAACTTGAGTTGGAGAGGGAAAAAGCCTTAAATGTGCAAGACACTGTGCTAAATGCTTTTTACAAATATTATCTCATAACAACCCTATAAGGTAGGTGCTATTATTATCCCTCTTAGCATGACCTAGGGCCAAGCAGCAGGTCTCTGGGGAGACTATCAACCATATGTCTGAGTTACTGTGGCTTGGAAGGGTAGGAGGAGGCCTAGACATGTAAGGCACTGCTAGGTACTAGAAGCCAGCAGGAAAGAAAAAAATTTAAAAACAAACATTATAATGAATAAACACATTCAAATAAAACAAGACCATATAGTGTCAATGTCCAAAAAAAAGTATATTTCTGCATCACTTTGTCAGAAGGTATATAATATGTTTCATCATGGGTCCTATGAAGACATGGTTGGTCATTGCAGTGACCAGAGTTCTTAAGTCTTTCAAAATTATTTTTCTTTATAATGTGTCTTCCTTCTATCATTTGTTTTTCTAGTTCCGCTCACTTTACTACATCAGTTCATACTGCCCAGGATTCTCTGAAGTTGTCTCTTGTCATGTCTTATGACACAATAATCCATTTCATTCATATATCACAGTTTGTTCAGCCATTCTCTAGTTGATGAGAAGACCCTTGATTCTAGTTTTTTTCTTTCTTTCCCCCCTCCTTTTAATCCTCCTCACTCCTCTTTTAGAATCAGGAAGGTGGTTTTGCTTGAAACCATTCCCTCTCTGGTATTCTTCTACCTTCCCACCCCTTGCCTTACTCCATGCCCACTTGTTTCCCTGCTGGGTGTTTTTTAATGTATGTGTGTGTGTGTGTGTGCGCGCACGCGCGTGTGTATGTTCAATCCTGCTTTGTCCATTTCAGATAGGAATGAAGATCCTCTGTTATCTACTCCTCTTACCCCTTCCTCCATGTTTGTATACTCTTATCCTTTCCTTCATGTTTATATAATCTTCTCACACACCCCAATTATGTAAAGTAAAAAGTTACACACCCTTCTTCTTTTCAACTCTAGTGTATTCCTTTCTCATTTTCCTCTTAAAACCCACAGCACAGAACCAATCCATTCTCCCCTGTCATTTGTTTCTCTAATTTAATAAAGGTTCCCTTAGTGCCCTTTAAGCTTCTGAAGGCACTTTTGTTTTTTCTCATCCTGTTAGACTGTAGCACTGCATAATTCTATAGCCCCAAATGCTTAAAAGTCTTTTATTCTATTAAGGTCCCTCCTCCAATCCTCTCCTACCTCCCCCCACCCCCATACAGCTTTGCTGGGGAAATTATTCTTCATTGTAAGCCTATATCTTTTTTTAATGTTTAAAAAAAATTTAATTAATTAATTAATTAGCATCGTGACCTCAGAAACATGCTAGAGCCTCTCAAGAGCCAATTGTTAAATTTCCAGGATAAGCATTTACACCTCAGAAATAGGTCAACATTATAAACAGGGCTTTATTGTTTTGTTGATGGTCTCTAGAGTCTAGATTTAAGAAACTATTTTTTTAAATTTATTTTTATTTTTCAACATTAACTACCACAAGATTTTGAGTTCCAAATTTTCACCCCATCTCACCCCTCCCCCACCCCAAGATGTAAGCCTATATCTTTTAACAAAGGTGCTGTTTAACAAAGCTGTTAATTCTCTTTTCATAGTTTTCTTGCATAACTCTCATTTCTTTTCCCAATTTTCATTCTCCCATTCATATTTGATTTTTAAAATCGATTTTTTTCTC